CTTGAAAGTCAGTTCCTGAACTACGATAGTAATCGACTAAACCAGCAAAGTAACCGTCTGAACCTTGAAAGTACCGAACTTCAGCGTGAGGTTCATCTGGCGAACAAGCTGAATAACGAACTCCAACGTCAAGCTTACGCTGCCAATATCGAGAGCATCGAAATCCAGCGTCAGACATACAGCGTCAATCTCGAGACACAATGCATAAGCCGCGACATGCAAAAATTGAACCGACAAAACACCTTGGCTGCGCAGAATACAAGCTCTACAACTCGCACCAACGTTCTCGTAGGTCTCAATTCAATCATGTCGGTTTCAGATACTGACTTCACATAGATGATATGGATCACAACTCCTTTCTTAGTAGCGCTTCAGTATTTCAGCGCCGATCAACCGATCTTCACATCGTTCGATCGGAGTCCTCGCAATTTTGTCATTTCTCTATGCATACTAGCGCTCGCTTTTCCATTACTTGTGTGGGGATTTAACAATCTGCATTGCCTTGTTGTCTCTGTCATTCGACGACTGTCTGGGAAGAAGTCTCGGGATGAGGAAGACCCTGAAGGTGCGCGTCACATTTCTTTCTGTCCCGGAAATTCTATCTTACTCACAGAACATAGTGAATTCGGCGCCTCAGAACGGAATACCGGACACCCCAAACATTTAGTATGGTTATGCTAATTGAATCCCGCAAACTTCTTTCATTTAAATGAGGCGTCTTCAGGCATCACTTGGCATGATTTATTTCTCATTTCGACGACGGACATGTTTCAACAAGCAGCCCCGCTACGAACATTAAAGCTGTCCCGTAATCTCGGCTTAAGAATCACGCTTGACTATAATTTGGTGGCTGTAGAGATTTGAATGATTCTTTCCGTATCTGGGCTTTACAGAATTGCGCAAAAACCAACTTTTTTAAACACTGCATTACTCCCGTGTAAAAGCGTGGTTCTTGACTTCGCTTTATAAACGGAGTTGCTGCAAACTGCTTACACAGCGCCTAAGGTGTTTTCTCTAGAAAAGCGATGACTAAACTTTATCTAACTAATACATAAGTGTTAATAATTATATAATTATCAATTCGGCTAGCATCTATATTTACAGATATCGTGAAAGTAGACGTTTTCTGCTGCAACGGTAGCTTCTCTTTAGAAAGTCAAATGCATTCTAGCGACTATTTGCAAATAGAGGTTTTCGCCGATATGAACTGGAGTGCACTGTACCGCTATTTAGGTATATACTTACGTTGTGAGGGCACCTCTTTACCTTATGGTTTGGCTAGTAGTTTATGCTAATGGCTAATATTGAAGGGTCTGTGTAGATAAACGATTGACAGCTGTCTTCAATATAGGAGTAGCTCGAAATGATCGTTTCAACCAAGTTGATCCAGCGCATTCTTGTTTTCGAGTCCGCATAGCTTTCCTTCTGCACGCAAGAACAACGGTACCTAGGTAGAACACGAACCCGGTGGTTGGTCACACATATCGGTTCACCAATCATTGCTTTCTACGTGTACATACGCGGCACTGCGGATGAGTCCGACTCTCCTTGTTACATATCACCTCTTCAGGTATGAAATGGAAGCATTGAGTGACTACCTACCTAGGAGATGCTATCACCCGTGAAGATCGGTCGCGTAACTTATGTTCCAAGCTCTGAAAAGTGTAGCAAACAATTCGACACTAATAGTGGATAATCCACAGGATCCATGGATCCCGAGGTCTTTGATACCTGTGTTTGATTAGGATACTGCGACGTCCCACAGATGGTCTGTAAATTATGCTCAGGTGTAGTCAACCTCCATCGCTGTCGCCATTAGGTGATAGACAGAGCCGGGCCCGCGGGTACTGTGTCGCAGCTTGCTAGCTTGAAAGTTGGGTCATAAGTCGGCCGCAAGAGTGCGATATTGCGACATCAGCCGAGAGAGTTTGGTTGGAGTGCGCAAGAGGGGCTGGTAAGACATCACCTGTGTACATCATGGCCCCAGACCTCGTCAAGATAGCCTAGCACACCCAATAGCGAACTACGGAACAGTGCGACTCTCTTGTCATCATGAGAGATTTCTTAATTACGTAGGTACAGCTACATTCGGCATGGGTTGAGAACCCTATCAAGAGAAAGACCGGCGGTGAAAGTATCACAACGGGCAGAAATCTACGTACGTATTCTAATCATCTGACTTATCATGGCTCTCTTAGTGCTATCTGTATACGCGGTGTGACCACCAATTCGTACAGTGCCGACGCTGTCAATATGATCTGTTGAACAACTAGTGAGTCGACCTGCGTACAGCTCGTTTGTCTCCCGGTGCTAGCTTAGGTGACTGTCCACGAAGCTGCGGAAACACAAACAGTAGAGGCCGACATTGGTTCCGGATTGCTTGTTTTGTAACGTGATGGTCATCTGGCGCTGCGACGTCTTTTCTTTAAGTGGAAGCAAGCTGCGCTCTCAAAATCATGAATAGGGTGGCCAGTGTGCAATAGATAGGTGTAGATCCAGGATCAAGACTTGCACAAGTCAATAACTGAAGTTGATCGCATGAGGTCGCGACGAGCTTGCAACAGTGGACGTCACCTATCGACAAGTATAGGGCATTCGATCGGCAACGACCATAAGATATCCCAATCGTTTCGGAAGAAATACTGCAGCGGCCCACAGCATGTGGCACCAAACGGGACTTGAGGCAACGACTGCTGTGAGACTGCAGCAGTGCTGCGCTAAACAGTCCAATCATCCAGAGCGAAGCAAAAGGAACTTTGTGGGCTTCGAATGTATAAGTGCTCGGCCTTCACTCAGCGACAGACATATTGTGACAATGCAGTTCGTCTTCTCGTAAAGCTTGTAGCTGTAACACCATCGCATACCAAAGTAAGTGTGAAGCGCGCGTTGTGTTTTTGCGCACGGCCCCTGGGATGACGCGAACCCTGTCTTCGCGTCTCGTGCCGGGTTATTTCAATCAACAATCTCATTTTCTCTTCAATGCTCTCTCCAACCTGACTGCTCGAGCTCCTCAGCCTCGAAAATGGCGCATCGGCGTCCAAAGCTCTTGCAGCAATGTCAGCTACGGCGCGAGCTCATAGGGAGAATGCTGACTAGCACAAGACACTCACATCTAGTGTCTTCAAGACAGGCACGACGAAGGCCACCAGCTCGACCCAACACCCATTGACACCTTCACGAACAGCTCCGTATCATCGATCCAAGGCCGTCATGCCATCTGTCAACCTCATGCCCATAACAGACCGAGACTCGAAGGACGCTCCTGTCTGGCTGCGTACCGCGCTCACCAAACAGCGACGTTCCAAGGCTCTTGCTACGTCGGACTACCACTGTCGCTTACAACGCACTCAACATCGATACCGAAGCAGACGGAGACGAAGCGAGAACAGATTCCTTGGCGAACCTACAAACGAAACGCTACCCCGAGCAGCAACGGATTGTGCTGTAAGGAGCCGGCGCGAATACATACCTATACAGACACTTGTAAGCGACAAGGAGAGCTTCTTACAGAAGCGGGTATTAGTCTCACTGGCTTACCTTGCTAGGCCAAAAAGAAGTACACCTATGTTTGGCAATGCTGCTATTGCAGCCGGCCAAACATACCATATCAGAACGAAGCTTGTTCTGATTGTGGATACGGACGTTGTGGCAATTGTTGTACCACGAAGATACAAATAAGGTGATGGTGATTCTAGTGCTCTCGATCGGGCCATGACGGCGCACAAAACATCAGGTTGGTGGTCCAGAGATTCGGACCCGGCTCATATCCCTAGGCAAAGCAGTGTTTCGAGTGCTTACTAGAAATCTCAAGGCTTTGCCAGGCCCTTATCACGCCTTTTGAGGAGTATAGAGCATCGAAGCATTGGTGCCCGCAGATGATAAGCTTCTACACTAATGCAGACTGACTTGTTGATCATACTACAATGTGCCTAGCCTCTAAGACCGCACTGGGAAGCCATCCAACAGGCAGTTCAATCAATACTAGCACATTCGAATCATCCAGTGAACCACTTTTATTCGCATTCCATATCTCCAACAGCTTCGCGTAGAGGTTCAGTATGCGCCACTCGACAGCGTCATGTGTGGCCCTTCCAATGCACCAGAGCAAACCAGTACCTCACGCATGTGAAGTCCGATGAAGGTAAACATGAACACCATGGTGATTCTATGTTTTTGCGGTTCGATCGACACAAGGAAACATCTTGTCTCTATTGCTGTGGCTTGATTCACAAAGACTACTCATCTCTTCCGTCGCTATCGGGCAGTTCCGTTGTGGTATTTGAGCGCGACCCGATCTTCGCTTTGAGTCCGACTTAGTACCAATGCTATCGTTCTTTCCTGTACGAATCTTTGTGGAACAGCCCATGTAGCAACCTCAATGTGATAGATCACCACACGGACGGAGAAGAAGAGAAGTGGCGACATGATCACATAGCAGGGGTGCTCAAGAAGACCAAGCGATGAAGGCGATGTTAACGGACTTAGCTAAGAGATCTGGGTCTATTCAACTATCACGATGAGCGTGTAGCGTACCTAGGGGCTGCGTGAGGGAAATCAAGCTGAGATGAGAGAATGAAGGAATGCCATTGGTCGCGGGCTGATGGCAGCAACTACCCCGCCCTGTCACATTAGAGAGGGCGGGTGATGGAACGAATCAGTATCTCACCAACGATAGTCGCACCCCCAGACAATATATGCCCTGATCTCATTGATCATGGCTGATGAGGTGCATGAGGCAGACCAATTGTCGAGCAACACGACAGTCCAAGGTTCGCTGTCCAAGCCGACGTGGCAGCCCGCGCTTCCACGATGAGGCTGAGAACATTCACCGGTGAGCATTTCAGGCTGTTGGACCCATTCTGAGTGCCATAAGGCTCTATCCTGTTTGATTCATCGTTCGGTACCGCATCGTTTTCCGGAAGCCTCGTTTTGAGACGCAAAACTGGAACACCTTTCAGACGCTGTCGTCAACAAGGAACGTAGCAAAGGAATACGTCGAAATGGAGGCACTCGAAAATGTGCTCAGTGCTTTGAATCTCAATGTTCCCATGCCTGGGGTCAATAACGCGGAAGTGCTTGCCAATCCGCTCGACGTGTGCCGCACCTACCTCGCCGAAGTACTGGCAGACGCTGTCGGCTGTGACATCAACGTAGCTTACAAGTCCATTCAATGGCCGAACAACATCTTCAATGGCGACCTGGCGGTCATACTCCCGAAGCTCCAGCCTGGTGCTAAAGCTGAAGAAGTGGCTGTTGGGCTTATGAAGAAGGTACGTACCTTCCGCGTTCGACAACGTAAGACATAGCAATCGCTAAGTCAGCCTAGTTTCCAATCGACCATCCCCTCTTCGTCCTGCCATTTCTAGAGGGTGTTCATTTCCGTGTTTTCGTGAAGCCAGAGTCGCTAACCCGCCTCCTCTTACCGTACATCTCAAGTCGGAAAGATGCTTACGGATCCATCCCGTCTCCTGGGGATGCGCGCAAGAAGCTCGTCGTCGAACTCTCCTCCCCGAACATCACCAGCGAGTTCCAAGGAAAGCACCTGCGAAGCACAATCATCGGCGCATTCATCGGCCGAGTCTACGAGGCGATGGGATGGGACGTAACGCGCATCAACTATCTCGGCGACTGGGGCAAGCCGATCGCGTTGTTGTACGTTGGCTGGTCGAAGTACGGCTCGGAAGAAGCGTATGCGGCGGATCCGGTCGGACAACTTCTGGAGGTCTACCACAAGATCGAAGAAGACTTCAAACCCGAACAGGCAGCGAGCAAAGCAGCGCGCGACGAAATGGCAAAGGAAGGCGAAGACACGGGCGAAGCGCAGGCCGAGATTGAAAGCAAGGGCATCTTCGCAGAACGTAACGAAGCTTTCAAGAAGCTAGAAGAAGGCGATGAGGAGCTTGTGGCCTTTTGGAAGCGCGTGCGAGATGCCAATATCGACAACTACACCAGGTTCTACGAGCGACTTGGTGTGCGCTTCGATGAGTACTCTGGCGAGTCGCAGATTAAGCCTGAGACTATGGTGGAAGTCGAACAGATGCTGAAGGAGAAGGGTATCTCGGAGGAGAGCGGGGGATCTCAGATTATCCACATGCAGAACATAGGTGCGAAGGCTGGTACGGCCATCATTCGCGACCGCTCCGGTAGCAGCACGTACCTCCTCCGAGACCTCGCCGCGGTGTTGGAGCGTTCGAGGAGGTACTCGTTCGACAAGATGGTATACGTGGTTGCCAGCGACAACAGCGTCCACTTTACTCAACTCACCAAGGTCTTGGAAGCGATGGACATGAAGGAGCTGGCCGACAAGCTCCAGCATGTCAAGTTCAGCGAGGTATCGAAGATGGCGGCGACGCTTGGTAAAGGGTACAAGCCGCAGGGTATATTGGACGCATGTGAGGAAGCGATGACTGCGTTGTCGGAGGCCGATGCCGAGAAACTCGAAGTGGTAGGTGGGTTGGATGATGTTAAGGAAGGACTCGCGACATCGTCACTGCTCGTGCAAGAGCTCTCGACTCGCCTGACCACAACACATGCATTCGACACTGGTGCGATGGCCTCCTTCAAGTTTGGGTCGGGCCCGGATCTGCAGTACTGGCTGGCTAAGCTCCGCCGATTGCTCAAAGGTGCTGATGCCGCTGAACTCTCGGATGAAGATTACGAAGTGTTGGCTGAAGAAGACCCGGCCAATCTTCTGCGCATTCTGGCTCAGTACCCGGAGGTCGTGAATGCGACCTACCATTCGCTCGAGCCGGCTGGTGTTGTTACTTATCTCGCCAGTGTGACTGAGCAGCTTGCTGAATGTCTTCCAGAGGATGCTGAGGGTGATCAGGATGCGAAGATCACCCCCGGTCTGGCGGCGCTCTACGAAGCGACTGCAGTCGTGCTGGAGAATGGCATGAAGCTGCTAGGATTGGCGCCGATCGTGCAGTCATTGCCGGACAGAGCGGATACGCCGGTGATGGGATGATGGGATGGTTCTTTCGTATCCAAATTGTCGATGTGTTGGTTTTGATTGCTATGGGATTGTCGTCGACACTGTTGACCCTCAGCCTACTTGGGCGTTTCTGGGCTGTCCACTGCGCTGCTGTTCGATGGCGACGTAATGAATGATGACCAGTGTTTCTTTAGTTCATACAATGATGACTCAACGATGGATGACTTGCTGTCTAGCCGTGTCGCGGTCCACCCTGCTGTCTGCAAACTTTTCCTGTCCGCCAAACTTCAAACCCCTCAATTTTCGTCGGAAAAGTTTTGCTGAAGTTATATATGTCTAATTGTCTCCTCATTCCATCAATTTCCGATATGGTCTAGTGGCTAGGATTTGCCGCTCTCATCGCAGAGTAAGCTCGCTGTTGCAGCGCAGTGCCGGCAAGGCCCGGGTTCGATTCCCGGTGTCGGAATGTCTCTTTTTGCCATTTGCAAAAGATACCTTTCTTTTTGCCGTTTGTGCAAAAGTGATTTCTTTTTTTGCCCAACGATGCAGACACCTATCACGGGTATTGGCTTCTTTTTTACAACTGATGTGACACGAGTGCGGCTTGTTGAAGTCGGGTCGATGCGTGTCCCGACCTCAACTTCGCACCCTTCATCACCACACTCTTTTTGTTCCCACCGCCTCATGCCAAAAGAAACCAATTGATCACGCTAGAGTCTACATTGGCTGCAAAAAGAAGCAAACAACATTCTGGAGCGATGTAGACACCTCAAGGGCTGGGTCTGGTCTTTCCTCGGATAGAGTGCCACCATGCTACCGTAACATCTTTGTCAGTATGAGTGGATCACAGTTCAGCCACGCGCGCCCCTGAGCTTAGGAAGCAACAACTCCAGGTAGCGCGTCACGCCGCCTCTCGTATTTGCTGATGCATCATCACCAACGCCAGGCACACCGCGGCCGCGATTCGTCGCCTAACATTGCAAGGCATGGTGGCGTCGGTAACACCACGAAGTATTGATTTCGACAGGTAGATAATGTATAACTTCAAGCCCGGCCGCCGTGACAGCGGTGCATCTGCATCAACCGTCGCCAGTCATCCAACATGCGTCCCTCCAGCTACATCCCGCTCCTCGCCGGCGCTGCCATTGCGCAAGAGTCTGCGACGATCCTCAACTTCTTCCAACTCGACAGCACCCTCACCGTGCTCGGTTCCGATGCGAGCGCAACAACCTACGAGAACAGCTGTCCCTCAGGTGGAGTCGGCGTGTCAGTCGTGCCGTCTGATCTTCGTACGTCATGCACCCGTCGCGAGAGATTGCACTAACACTGCCAGTACCGATCACAGACGACCCCTCCGAGACTCCCTCACCTACACCCGCGCCTCGCATGCGCCGCCAGGACGATGAATCCAACGGGGACTACTCTTTCTGCGAGCCGTATACCATCCTACAAGGCCCTGAGACGTACGAGATGCACCTCACGGACCCGACTCCAGGCGCGTGGACAATGGATATGGCCTGCAGCTGGCAGGGCGCAATGTCAACGGCAGACTTGACCTGCGATGTCACCCAGAGCGGATACGTCCCGGACCAGGCCGACCAGGTCGCGTCGACAAGTGTCTTGTCGCAGAGCGAGATACAGGAGATGGAGGCGTACCAGGTGGTTGCATTAGTCACCGCAACTGGTGCGTCTTCTCCAGGATCAGCCTCAGCGACTGGAGGGCCATCACCTACTGGCTCGGCATCAGGAACAGGAGCGACATCGCCTTCGAGGTCTCAATCCGGTGCCGCTTCAACGCCGAGCACTGGTTTGGCACCTGCTGCATCCCTCCCGACTGCGATGGCGATGATGGGTGCTGTGGGCATTTTTGCGGCAGCCGTAGCTCTGTGAGATGTTGTATACATTCTCTTGTATTTGTCGCATTAGAGCGCCTGGTAAGTAACAGCATCTTCGTCATCGTGTCTTTTATGATTCGTGTAATTTGAATTTCATTATATTTCCAACTACGTCCTCATACATTCATCGGGTGATCCTTCCATTTCTACTTGCGTATCCGTAGCTTCGTACTGTACATGCCCGAGGTGAATGCGGAAGCAGCGGGCAATCCGACCGCGCTCGCACGTGGACACGCGTCGTAAAACACGCGACCTGCAGCGACAGTCACCCAGGGTTGAACCCCACATTCAAACAGCACACTCGTTTGCTGGCTGTACATATTAACGTCCACACCTGAGACCATCTCTTTGTCTCACCTTCTTTGTGGTACCACCATTATATACAACCCTCGTCACATCTCCTTGGTACCCGAACACCAGCCGCTACCACACCAAAGATGCCAGCCGCTGTATCTGAAGCGCATATCGTCACCGCAAACCCAAAGTCGCGCCTTTTCAGATCATTCACGCGACATGCCTCCGCGCCGACGAGCCCATTGACGCTGGAATTTCGCCTACCAAGTGAGGGAAGCTTCACCACCAGCTACCAACACTCCCTCCCATCGCCAAAGTCGCCACAGACAACCTCGAGATCGAAGCAAGGTCTACTGAGTGAACTATCCTGGGCGCAATCACTTACAGCTCGGCTCCGTCGTGACCGGGACAACTGGCGCTCGCTCGCTCTGAAGCAAGAACAGGACCTCAAGGCCGCCCATCAAGACCTTGAGCACCAAACGTGCGTTATCTCTGAGATCGAGCAGGAAAACGCCAATCTCCGCTTCCGCCATGAAGAGGATAGGACAGCTGGCGGGCAACTCTACTCGCGCTTCCAGGTACTCGTCTCCGCGCACGACAAGCTTGTCGATCAGCTCAACGATGCCATGCGTACCATCGCCCGTCTTAAGAAGAGCGACCGTACCAAGGACAAGGTGCAGCAGCGCAATCTGAGCTTGAAGGCTACGCTGCATAGGTACACATCTCAGGGCACCTCGGCCACTACACAAGCCGCTGCAGACACCGAGTCTACGCTGAGAGAAGCACTGGCGTTGGCTAATGAGCGCATTGAAGAGCTTGAGACCAAGGGCGAGGCTATGCTTGACGCATTAGAGAAGCGCAACGACAGCTGTGGTAGTGACGACGAAGAGATGGGAGAGAGAAACGTCGAAGCAGATCTGCTGGAGGCCGAGGTCGCGTTCCGCGGCGTTATCGAGGATGAGTCTTTCAAAGAGCAGAAAGTGCTTTGGCTGGATCTGCTGGAAGATTGAGGAAATGTGAAGGTAAGAGCATGAGCAGATGTATTCAATCACCGGTACATGACAAAGCGCGTTCAGTCGCTTTCGATTGTCAGCCCAGTACAAGAGGACAACCAAGGTATCCTTGGCGCTCGGGGTTGTTCGCCTGCGGAGGGAGGACTAGATGCATGCATCGCATCACCGCCAGAAGTGTACCATCAGGCCAAGGTTGACGCTTTTGTCGAACAGCATCACGCGTATCCTACCCAACTGGCGGCTATCATCACGCACGTCATAAGAAAGCGCAATCTGTACGGTAAATGAGGAGAGACGCAGCGCACGTGGAATGACAAGAACCAGCGATTCGTTACATAGCAACATGGAAATGAAATCATTCGCTATGTTTCGAATTATTAGCCAAGTCACGTCTTGACCTGCTGACAACTGACTCCTCCCAAGCCACGCACTGAACGTGCGCATCTTGCTTGGCCACGGTCATTCCGACTCGTACTTCGCGTTCACAGCCGGAATGGAGGTCCGAAAAGCCTCAGCCTTGCGACTTTTGTCACCGAAAAGATCGATATGCATAGCTATCATGTTGTAGGTCGCTGACATTAGTTGTGATATTTCTGTTCTGTCGATAAACCATACCCAGTGCTGTCTCGCTATGACGCCGCCCCCTCCAACTCCAAAATCCGGTATGAGGACCTGTGCTCTGCACCATGCTACATGCATTACACAATTAACTCTTCAAAAGCGCAAGAGGAAGGCGCAGCCTCATCGGCCGGTCAAACTGTGCGCACGTCGCAAGAGACAGACGCAGACACTGATGCAGCCACACTTGTCAACGAGCCTAGGAGCACGCCAGGAACATCGGATCGGGCAAAGTTTGTTGAATCACTGTTGCTAAGTTTGTGTTTGGTCATGTAGACTAGCTGTAGGGCAAATAGGGAGTGGATATCGTGCATGCGTTAGACTTGGATATGGAGCCTGTAGGATAGAAAGAAGTGGTGAGGAAAACTTTGACGGGGCGACTACATGATACTATGGGTGAACAGATGGTTCATGATAAAACGGCGAGATATGCGACAGTGTTGATCCGCGTTTGAAACTGTTCAACTCTGAGGGGGTTTGACGAAGACATACCTTTTCCTTGCAGCAGCTGGAAGGTATCATGATCCGCGTTTTCATCATATACCCCTACTCAGATCGAGAGGACTTGTTCAGAATCCAACGTCGCTGGAAGCTCCCATTGGTATCTCATGCGTCTTCTATTTTTTTCTCAACGTAGAAATGTTCAATCTTGCCATTGTATTCCAGAAAGACCGACATCAAGACGTATACATGATAATATTAGTACAGATCATTGTACTCCTATACACCCGTTTGCAAGCCTTCCGTACACTCCAACGCCTTGGAAACACCTAGATAATATCCATAACTGATGACCGACGCCAGGTGTTGTTCGTGATGTCTTTTAGATCATCATCGTGATGATAGACATTTGTATACAATGCTCACACTAGTACCGCGGCTCACTTGGCGTATATTGCTGATGTTCAGCATAACGTGGCTCCTCCATCTCATGCATAGAAGGCTGTTCCCGCTCGCGTGTACGGTCTCCAGAGCGACGAGAATGGTGTTGACGCTCCTTTCGGGGGGATCGCGGAGTACGCTGAGTCTCCCATAGTGACTCGCCGTGATGCCTGGAGTGGCTGCGTTGGGAGTGTCGTCGCTCAGACTGGAAGTACGCTTGTTCGGCGGCTTGGACTGGCGTTTCTTTCGGGCGCTCGACTCTGCTTTGAACGACTTCCTCTTCGTCGAATGCGGGGCGACGGGTGTGCTGCTGCTTCGTCGACTTTGGCTTTCCTGCACTTTTCCACTCGCGGAATTCTTTGATGCAGATTCCTGCGACGATGATCTCAGAATTGCTGTTATTTGTTAGTTTAAGAGTCAATGAGAAAGTTACCCAACTCACACGATAACGATGGCGATGATGACTACGACCCAACTAAGACCGCATGTTGGCCCTTTGCAATAGCTGAGATTGGTTTGAAACATCAACCCCGCAACGACACTCCAGAACACAACCTCAATACAGCTGATTATGGCATGCGCTTTGTAACTGTGCCAACGTTGGAAACGTGGACTATGTTCCGAAAGTATGAGGTATATGAGTAGGATGAGGGATTTGGCACCCTGAATACAAGTGTTAGCAATGACATCGGTACTAAATACAGCCAGATCAGAAGATATCAACATACCATGCCCAATGCATATGTGCTTGCTCGTGTGCGCGGAACATTGGTAATGAACAGACGAGGAAGCGTAAGGGCGATGGCGAGAATAACGAGAACGACTTGAGCGATATGGATAGGGAATTTGAAACGGCTGCTAAAGACGGGCTTCTCAAGGATATTGAACACTCCCATGTTGAAGGTATGAAAAAGATGGTGTTGATTTCGTCAATGTCTCGTACAAGTCGTATCGTAGTTCGGTCGTGGTTTTGATCGTAGTGGTCGGCGTCAAGACTTAATCTTCGTTGTTGTGAGACGGTACAATGAAGTACGTCAAGCATAATATACATTTTCTGCTTGTTAGTACCTGCATCAACGCGTACGTCTGTATGCTCCGCCGTCTCGTACGCGTTGTTACATTTCTTCTTGGCAACGTCAAAGTCCGAGTACGGTGCGATACGAGTGCGAGTGCGGGTACGAGCAAGAGATGTGATTGGTGCGGACCTGCCAAGCCACGTGCTTTCAGCCCTACCAGTCCTAAACTCACTCTTCGACTGACCAGGTTAGACTTGCGAGTAGTTGCGGACGAAACAAGAAGCAGCTTCTATCGTTCTCAACTCATGGTAGACCCTGTGGTTGTAATCTTGGTTGAGATACGGAAGAGTAAACATTCGAAGCCAGTTATCACATTGGTCAGGATATCCAGTCATGTTTAGTTGAACTCGCTCTCGCATTTGGGGTATATTCTCAAGATTACATCGTCCTCGTCGGCGGCGATTAATTCGGCCCCGTCGGTTGCGGCCCATGCACATGAGGGTTTCCAGGCATATTCGGAACGCCCTCAGGACCGATCATCGTCCCAATATCCGCCCAATTCCACTCATGGATGTTGTTGATGGTAAAGTCCATAAACTGCATCTGCGTCGTTCTATCAAACCGGGCATTAGGATGCATTGAGGGCGCCATGTAGGCCTGGTCTGGGTATATACGACCTGGCATAGGATCCGCATACATATATGTGCCCACGCCCGGTGGTGACTGATGGTACATGTGCGGTACTGCGTCTGGCTGCGACAGTTGTTGCGCTGGGATCGAGCTTTGCGGTCCGGTGTCATGTGTCTCCATTTCCGGTTCCGCAAATCTGACGGGCGAAGCTAGGGAGTCGGCCATGGAATGCAACTCCGGGACGAGGGAAGCAAATTTCTCAATGGTACCAGGCATGAATGGATTTCGCCTATGTCGCTGTGCCAGATCTGCTAGCTGAGACAACAGAATCCTGGACTCGGACATGTCCGTACCACCCAGCTTATTCAAGCATACCAGATCAAGGACTAGTACCGAGCTCGATGCAAGCGTGTACCAAATGTCACACGAGTAGACGGCATCGAACTTGCCTAAAGATTCGAGTCGCAGTAGTATGTTAGCCAAAGATCTGCCAGACTCTGAGCAAGCTTCTGCCATGGCTGTGAGCGCAGAGTTTGTGGAGTCTTGGCCGGTGTTGGTCAGGGTGGAAGCGCGGGCAAGCAGGGCTGAGCGGCACAAGACAATGATGGTATAGTGGTATACACAGTGCATCAGCATCAGGGCTCGTTGCATGGGCGAAGCTTCTATGGCTTCGTATTGTAGATGCCGGGGCAACTGCTCCTTCCATCGCACTAGATCCCGGAGCACGCCGGCGGCGGGTGATAAGGGGCCAACGTAGGATTCGTCGCTGGCGTTGGACTTGACGGTCTTCGGCGCGCGACATGTCAGGCCCAGCAGTATGAACAGGCGCGTTGAGCATGCGAAGAACTCCGGGGGGCCGCCGATAATCTTCTCGTTAGGGGCGCTCGTCTTTGCGCCAGGATTCTCAATGGCACTCGGCCGGTCGTAGGAGGATACCTGCATCGTCTCGAAAGCGTACAGCGTCCACCACAGTATCTTGCGCGACTCCCTGGCCAGCGGTGTCTGGCCGGCGTTCACCTTGTCCTGGTGCAGTCCGATGGCGTGCGCTATGCGGACGGCGGCACCCGTCAGGTTCCAGCAGGCGTCCCGGTGGTTCGTGTTGTGGAGGTGTATCGCAGCCAGTAGCAGGGCCTGTATGGCTGTGATGCTCGAGGTGAAGATGACAACAGGAAGGAGCGTCTGGGTCCTCTGCCACCACAGCCGCTCCTGGTCTTCTGGAAAGGGAATGCGCGCCACCCGTCGACCGAGCAGCAGCACACACGTAAAGGTGCACAGCCATGCCGGGTCTGCACTCCTGGGGTTGGCCAGCCACGCGTCGTAGGCCTCGCGGAACGAGGGCTCATGCAGGACGGGGAAGTCCGGGTGAATGTGTTCGAAGAAGGCGCGTATCAGCAGCTCGAGGTTCGGGCGCTCGCTGGGATTCAGGTGGCGGCCGTGGACCGCGACGGAGTTGTGGGCGGTCGGGGCGGCGGTCGGGCCTGGCAGGCTGCGCTGGTCGTCGCTGCCGGTGGGCGACGATGCCTGGGCTGCGTTCTTGCCAAAACTAGAGGTGGAGCAGTCAGTCGATGTCGCCAGAGGCTTCATGCAGGGGCGTTACTGACAGTACAAACTCGCGTAGGGCGCCGCGTCCCACGAGCGTGCGCAGCTTGATGTGGAACGACAGCGAGCTGCCCGGCCCAATGTACTGCACCTGGCCCTGCTGGTCGGGGAGCAGCGACACCGTGTCGTCGCCTTCACCCTCGCCGCTGTCGTCCTGGTCGCCCTGCGCGTCGTTGGCCGCCGCGTCTGGCAGCGGGATGCCGTGCGACGTCGCGAGCTGGCGCAGAGCCTCGGTACTCGAGACGTCGGCTTCCGGCAGCAGCCCCTTCACCAGCGCCTCGAGCAGCGCCAGACGGGTGCCCAGCCCCTCGACGCTGCCATACAGGCGCTTCTTGCGCGGCTGCGTCGTCAGGCACTCGATGTTGTGCACGATGCAGTAGCGACACGCCTCCTGGCCGGGCTCCTTGCGGCACTTCTGCTTGCGCGACTTGCACTTGTCGCAGCTCGTCTCGGTGCGCTTCCGCTTGTCCAGCGGCACGCGGCGCGAGCTGCTTGCACTTGCATGGCTGCTACTCGTGGGTGCGGGTGTGGAGGCCGACATGGGCGTGGACGGGTAGGTGCGGCGGATTTCAGGGCGCAGGGAGAAGAAGCATGGCGCACATGTCGCGAGAGCGCTGCGAACGCATTGAGACGCTCTTGTGCCGGTGGAAGATGCGACTGCAACTTTACGATGATGATGCAGGGGACTCCGATCTTGCCTGCGCTATCGCGGTCTCCGGTCCATCGGTAATTGAGGCTGCCGTCTCCTCTCTGGTGGGCCTAACCGGCGAGCTGCCTTGACCATTTCTTCAAGCGGACACCACAGGCACGTCCTCTTCCAAATCATCGAATCCGTCCGTCGTTGCCCCACCGCAATCGATGGCTGAATACCCATCGAGCGGGAACCATTTCAAGCTGAATGCTGGTCCTGGTCATGGCACCCCCTCATCGGTGCCTCTACCAGGTACGCTTGATGCGGCTACCAGACGGACAGCAGCCGCTGAATACGACCAAGCATATCTCGGCCGTGCTAGAGTACCCCTCGAGATATGGCTAAAGACTCCCATCCTCCCTGAACAAGATTGACCAGAGCAGGGCTGCTTGATCTGGTAGGCACGAAGTCGAAAGAAAGACTGAGCCGGTCACTGTCCGGTTATGATTGGTTCAAGCGTGCGGCAGCTGGCTCACCTTCCCTCATGGGGTTGTGCAGGTACTTCCGATTACTCCACAAGCACCTGGGCATGACTCGGCCGCGTGACCCAGTGCGGCCAAATGCCATAGCCACTGAATCGAGTTAGCAAAGATCCAGCGTTCCAGACATCGCGAGACCCACATGGCACCCATGCCGAAGACGACTAGAACGACCGCATTTTGTCGCAATCCTGTGCTCCACTGCCCTATCGCCTGTGCCGGTACCACAAACGCTTCCATCTCACTAATACCGCTCAGGAACCACGGCCATGTTCAGCATATTGGGATCCACCCCTTCACCACCGTGTCTCCACTTTCTCTTCTGTAGAAATGCATACCACGAGCACGGCTGTGTACATCATCGCCGTTAGCGATCAAGGATCCAACCGCGACGCAGATAACAGCACCGCGGAGCGTCGTCGTGAAGTCTTCTTGACCTCTAGAGAAATAACCCCTCTAGCTAGTCCGCTGGTCGCCGGATAGCAGACAGGCCTTATATCGCAGGTCCAGATGGTATCTTCCAACACTGCAAGAGAGTAATTCCGCATGTCGTGGCAGTAGGCGAGTTACGAAATAAGGTCCCCACGCTGGCACAGACTTCCCCGTACGCGTTAGCATAGGCGCGAATGAGCACGAAAGGGAAGACGAAGGATTGTCGTCGTGGTGCCTGCGATCGTGGTGGCAATGACGTCAGACCCCAAAGAAGCCACTGTCGAACCTGGTGGTTCTACGCGAACAACAGGCAGGTTAAAAGTTATCAGGCCTCGAAGGACATATAACGGAAGTTTGGCTGACATGTACAGTGTAGACATCACTCTTGTATCCCGCGTTATCGCTTGTAGCACCGCCTCTTCCAGTCTTGCGCACTCACCTCACTGGACTCCCTGCCAGGCGATTTGTCAACGTCGCGTACGGCTGTCCTTTTCGCAGGTCATCCATCAAACCATAGCGCAGCCTCTTTCCACCTTGCATCCTGCAGACTCAAACTCCCAGCTCTTTGGCATACTCTGGAAAGTCGCGAACGATCACAATGACAATCGATGCACCGTCAGACTCTCACGCAGACTGCAGACTGTTTATCACGGTGTTGAGGCGAGAGGAGTGTCGCGCCGCCGAATGGGAATATTTGTGTTCGAGCTTCCATGGGCTGAATTTGATCTCGTTTGCCCGACAAGCGAATCGACCACGCCTCAATCGTGCATGGCGCCATCACTGGTTATGCACGATGGATTGCGCTCATTGCGGGCCGAGGCGCACTCTTGGCTCGATTTCTGATTCCGATCTCAAGGATGCTATAGCAAGTATGGCAATAATCCTCCCGAGACCAAGAGCGCACTTTGGTGGTCATACTGAACAACCAAACCGCGACAGCACGGCCTGGCCAGTTGCGCTGCACAGTTCGTCGTCCGCGTTACTGTTGCTGGTTTCGTTGATTAGAATCTTTCAACTATCGGCACGCTCATCTTGACGCACGGTATGACAAGCGGTCTTGACCGAATGTTGGCAAAACCCTGGGCCACTGGTGGTGTTTGATGGAACACAGACACAAGTATTGCGTCGTTTTACCAAGAAGCTAGGAGCATGAAACTTACCATACGCGCATCGCATAGCACCATGGATGAGACAAGAAACCACGGCGCAGATACACACTCGTCTGCAACATCTGACATGGTAGCGACATGATGATCACAGTATCGACGCGACGCTTGTCTGCCGGTTCTGCAGCCGATACTCTTCGTAGCCTTATTCAACGGCTTGACGGAACGCTTGAACACATCGCAATCCTACGTCTACATCTTCGGTGTCTTTCTGACCTTGTCGCTACCTATATCCGGAAAAGTATTACTTCGAGGTATCGACACACCCGCAATTGTCCGACATTCTGTCACGGCTCTCATAGACGACAAGGACGGGGAGGCTCAGTGTCGGCATGGTAAAAGTGGCTGAGAACATAAAGATATGGAAGCGCATGCAAAAGAATTGACAAAGTATAGCCCGAGAATGTCGCGAAAAGTCGTACGAAGTTCCCAAAATCGAACGGCAGAGGTAGTAGAAGTGGGACAAATCCTGAAAGATGACAAAGCCAACCCCTTCAGCGAACATACAACGAGATATGGTTGGACGCTGAGGCTTTCAAATCCAATCTACACGTCGTTTTCTCAACACTGTCGCGTACATGCACGCTCATGCATGTCCCTCAGCGGCTGCACATCTTGTACGACCATCCCACGCACACCCTCGTCAAACAACCCATTCCTCCAGCAAATTCACATGGGCGTTTTACATCGAGAATGAAAGCAGCAGTAGTTCAATGCTGTCTACAGAATCATGAATTGGATATATAAACGCAATAATCGTCGACAAACTTCGACCCAGCCGGTGCCGTTATTCTGCTTAGCTCAATCAACCATCCCCGACCCCTCGATGCTTCCGATCATCTTCTCTCGGTCGGACGTTCGAATCGCGCCATCTCTACACCTACGAAAATCAAGGGGAAAATTCGACATCGAGAGCAATAGCTAAGCACACGAACCTGCTGCGCGCCCTTATACCAATCAGCCCCTGCATCCGGAAGACAGCCACAAAGGATTCGTGGATGGCCAGACGAAAGTTGCGCCTCAGGCAGAAGCCGCAAGCTCGTCAACCGGACATATCAGGCCGGTCGGGAGTCGACTGCCTCACCGATAAGAGATACCCAACGGCTCGACAGAGGAGACCAGCCCCCAACCCTGAGGCCGTACTTGGATCCCAACACCCATGTCAACGAGATGAACATCAAAGCCAGGATCAAGGCTTGATGTGCACTCGATGGCATGACAACAAGACGCTGCGACACTGTGTTTCAAGCTTTGCGACGAGCACCACATCCCTCGAAGTAACCAAGTCATCGAGAGTTTGCAGAAGAGGTCAAATTTGGGCAGACGGTGTGACAACGGATGGATTCTCGTTCATTATCGTATGAGCCGGACTATTACAGCGCCGCTATCCAACCCACCATCCACATGTCCATCTCCGAGAAAACTCAAGCATCCCGACAAGTTAGCTACTACATACACGACGCCGATACATGCGGTTGCTCTTGGGAAAGTCCTACGACGATGCTTCAATTGCTTCTTCGATTCAAGAGCTATGAGCCTTTGCACCCGTTCGTGTCGGCTCTACCATCTCTGCTGAATCCAAAGGAGCGATCGTAAGGGCGGTAACACTGTTGATCAAGCGGATGACGACAACCCGGGAATAGCACGCTCACCTCTGCGCCTAGTCTGAGGTACGCGGAGAGGGTCACTGTGGAGGCCTCGACTGTCTTGCACTTCGTCCAGGATAGCACCACTCGGTATCCACTGTTTGACGTATCTTTTTGGTATATCCTCCTATATGTTCGCTCCTACGCCGCTTTCTTCGCTATGGCGGTCGACTTTCACTCAATGAACCCTTTGACTATTGTCGTGATTGTTCTCGAGTTCACACGTTTCTTTGCGGCGCGCTCTATCACGAAGAAGTCTTGACAGCTGGCAAAGAGCACATGAATCGGCGAAAGTAGGTCAGGGTCAGTGACTGCCCGACATCTATTACATTCCTTTCCTAGCATACTTCTCCAGCCATCACTCATAGAGCTAGACCTACAACTGCGTAGGGTAGTCCAGAGTCTCAATCTTCTCCGGGTACACAAGCCCACCCTGCTTCCGCACCTCATCCATAGCCTCCATAATCAACACACTCTCGTCAAGGCCAAGGAAGCGACCCTCTTTCCTGCCGTTGATGATAGCATCTGCCGCCTCGTCGGCTTCCCAGAACATACCCTGGCCCTCGCCTTCTGATTGCAGTGAGCCACCGAAGCCATTGTACCAACCGCTTCCCTTACCTGGGCCCGGAATGGGGAATTCTTTCGACTCAACCTTGCCGTCTGAACCGATGATCTTGGTGGAGAGGGGACGGAAGGAGTGCCCGAAGACTTGGATCTCGCCCTTGGGGCCTTGGATGCGGACGAAGGGTTGGTCCATGTTGCCTCCGGGCGCTGTGGCGACGCGAAGCGAGGTTGTCGCTACGGCATGAACCTCGCCGCCTTGCTCTTTTGAACGGGGGAATTGCAGGATCACGGTGCTGTGCTCGTCGGCCTTGCCAGTTGGCTCGTAGTTCTTGACAAAAGCCTGGAGCTTGGGTGCCTGCCGCGAGTTCTCGGGCTGGGTGTGGTAGATGGTCTGGAAGACCCAGGTAAGGGCATAGATACCGAGATCAAGCAGGGCGCCACCAGCCAGATCAGGGTTGACCATACGGTGCTTGCCATCTGGGAAGTTGTTCTCAGGGTCGAGCGCCATGCTGTTGTCCGAGATAACGCGTGTGATGGGCCCAATGCGACCAGAGGTGATTTGCTCGCGGACGTAGATGGAGAGCGGGAAGTAGCGCGTCCATACAGCCTCCATCAAGAAGAGGTTCTTGGACCTTGCGACCTCGGCCAGCTTGCGCGCCTGGGCGGCATTGACAGTAAACGCCTTCTCGCATAGCACGTTCTTGCCGGCCTCCAAGCAGAGCATAGCATTCTGGTAGTGATGCGAATGTGGTGTGGCAATGTATACGACGTCGATGTCCGGGTTCTTTACGAACTCCTCGTAGGAGCCATATGCCTTCGCGTCGGAGGGTGCGCCGACCTCCTTCAAGAAGTCCTTGGCACGCGATTCGGAGGACGAGGAGGCGGCAGCGACGACCGTGTGCTTTAGGTGCTTAACGCCACGTGTAGTAGGGTCGCAGAGGAGATCCTTGGTACTGTCTGTCTATTAGTAAACAGCTTCCGCGGGGTGTAGCGCGGGGTAGTTACAAGGTGACGGCGATACCTCCAGTCGCGAGGATGCCCCAGCGGACGGTCTTTGGTGATGACATGGTGTAGATAGATGTTGTCGTAGTCTCTTGGTATATTGAAGGTGAGATTGTGGGTTCAACAACGAGGAGCACTTGGCGGCATCAGGCGATTGACTTTGTAGCTGGAGCTGCAGAGCTCCAACGTCATGACGCCCACCGAACTTCGGGCAAAGCGCCGCATCTCAACCCCACTCTTGCCCCTCCATCGTCTTGCCGGTGCCTAAAGGAGCAGACGGCCCGCGTCGCGACATGTGGCGGACTTAAGATGCGATTGCCGTGTGCTGGGGAGTTGATGAGTAAGGAGTGGGCGTGAATGTTGGATGGACCCGTGGACGCGTCTCGCCAGACCCGATGCCAAGCCTCCCAACCTCCACCAGCACAGCTATCAAAGCAGTAATCATAGACGCAGAGACGGTACCCATGTCGAAAAGCATGTCATGGCTGCAATCCAGCTATATTCCACGATCGCATTCAGTAGACATGCGATTAGCGCGTGTGCACAAAGACCATACGGTGGGATGCTTTAATTGTATCTGAAGACGAGCTTATAGGTCTTGATGTCCATAGCAAAGCCACAGGCTGGTCGATCCATGCTGACAATTACAGCTTCGCCTTGCTACTGTTCTTCACGCTTTCATGATATCGGTCCCGCATCTCTCTTCTCAGCATCTTACCCGAGGGGGTTCTGGGAATCTGGAAAAGTCGTTAGCACCAGCAGCTCACGTTGGGTGAGTACTCACAGAATCCACAACCTCAATGCCACCAGTCAGCCACTTGTGTCGGCTTAGACGTCCTTCGATCCACTGATGCAGCTTCTTTGAGACAGCCTCTTCCCCTTGCTTCTGGCCCTCAGTGGTCAGCACGATCCACGCCCGGACGAACAGAGAGCCATCGCCGCGGCCGTTATCAACGCCCGCTACGCAGGCATCGCGCACCAGACCTTCTGGGTGATCGAGCAGCGTATCTTCAACCTCCGTAGCAGCGACCTGGAGACCTTTGACTTTGATCATCTCCTTCAGGCGATCGAGATAGTGGATACGGTCACGCTCGTCGCGCATCACAAGATCGCCAGTGCGTAACCAGCCAGGCTCAGTGAAGATGTCCGCAGTGGCTTTCGGGTCCCTGAAGTATCCAGGGGTAACGACTGCTCCGCGTGCCCAGAGCTCGCCCTTCTCGCCTTTGGGCACGTTGTTGAGTGTCTCAGGGTCTACAACCCGAGCCTGCATACCCGGTAGCAGATAACCGATCATGCCGGGTAGTGCAGGCTCCAATCCAAATATGCCATGCGCAGCCGGACTTGCGATACTGGCTGCTTCGCTCAGACCATAACCACTTGGCACCGGCATCCCCGCTCCTTGAGGCAGCTTCTTGGCCAGTTGGTAGGCGACATCTGGTGGCAGGTACGCAGCGCCGCTCGATGCGCCGATCACAGAGCTCAGGTCGTATTTCTCAGTCAATGGGCTCTGGGCGAGTTGGCGAACTAGAGGTGGTACCAGTGGAAGATGTGTGATCTTGTACTTTTGTATGCTTTTCAAAGCGAGCTCAAGGTTCCATTTTGGCAGCATGATACTCGTCTGCTTGATCATATTGACGCGAAGGATCCAGATGATCATACCGTATGAGTGGTACATTGGTATGACGCCGAGCATAGTAACGGGTGTCAACGGTTCGTCTCCTGCAAAGCGCGCGGCCTGCGTGGCAGTAATAAGCGTCTGTATTCCAGAGTGGTAACCATTACTGTGTGTAATCATCATTGCCTTTGGTAGACCCGAAGTTCCTGAAGACTGGAATAGATATGCCATCCGGTTTCCCCCAAGCAGCTTCCGCCGCTGCTCCGGCAGCTTTGAACCCTCCCTCACGAGCGACTCGATCGTACGATATCCCGACACGGTATCTAGTTGAGAATTGTCGCTAAGCACGGTGACTTTGTTGGGATTCAACTTGAGCTTGAGGGGTAGATTGTCGCTGTCACCAGTCCCTAGCTTGAGCGCTTCTTTCAAAACGGGGAGTAGTGTCTCATGACACATGATGCTGGTAATTTGCATCTTTCTGAGTACCCACCATAGCTCGTAGGGTGTACTCGCTGGACTGATGCCCCCAAATACCAGCTCCGATCGAAAGCATGCGTGCGCAACCATTGGATAATGCAGGTGATTCCGCGAGAACAGCGCTAGGATCTCGCCATCTTCCTTGTCGTCTATGGGGCTCTTGTCTAATCCCAACGGATTTGGTCCGTCATACCGGAAGACACGCGCCAGTGCACATACTCGAGCATAGAAGCTGTGGAGTGTGACGACCTCTTCTGTTACAGCATTGATGAATAGAGGGTAGTCTTCGGGCAATGGATTGTTCGGCGGAAAGCAGAGTTCGTGAATGTTGAGATCATCCGGTGTCGGTGGAAAGGGTCCAAATGGCGACGAGAATACAGCCTCGTCGTGAGGTCGATAGGTGTCTTTGGCAGGATCGGGAGCGTCAGGGCCTAGGTATCTGGACCAGTGAGGTTTGAAGATGCCGTATGTCATATCGAGATTTGAATAAAAAGATCTCGCAGAGTATCAATGATTTCCTGCAAGCTATGGAGACATGGGCGCGTCTACACAAAAGTGTCCCGCCAATGTTGCGTTTCTGTGGCCCTTATGGGCTTCCGAGGTGAACTGCGCGCCCCGCGTTCTCTCCACATTTGATCCTGACGTCGCGTACGCGAGTAAGCCCAGAAACGCCCCATTATGGCCTTTCACGTGGGGCAATGCCGTGTGATGAACTGAAAGGGATGCTCTCATGTAGGGTCTTGGCGTCTTGAGGAATGAAATGACCGGAGACCAAGATGGCAGGCGGCGCTGCTGCGGTGGAACCACTTCCGTGGAGTCATTCCCTCTTCAACTTTCGTGACAGCAGCAGTCAACATCACAGCCCCAGGCGCATACCACACAGTCCAACGATATTCCGACAACGCAGTAGCCTGTCGCGTAATGCAGTCATCTCTGCAAAGGTCCAATATGAGCTGGCATTAGACGCGTGACTTGCTTAGCCCTGTGGCTGTCTGCAGCTGTCGGACCCAACTTCACGTCTAGCCCAAATTGGATATTGCACGTTTCAGCTGACGGCGCGCCAAATTCGAGATTCAGCCAACGCGATATCCCTACGACTTCTTGACGCGTCTTGATCTACTCGATCAAGACTGCAGAAAGATTATGGACCGCCTGTAATGTCTGTTAGCTCTCCACACCCGCATACAGGCGCGCGGGTGTACATAGCTGGAAACCTCGCGTATGTACGAGCACCCTGATGCAACTAGAGATCGTCGCGCTTGAGTCTCAGCCTTCTCAGCCCTCAGCCCCCAACATCGCCTTGCAGCCTGCCCATCTATAAATCCATCTCGCCACCCGCTCTGGCATGGTTGCGCGTTGTCAGTGTCCGTACCTAGGTAGCGACCATGTCTACTTACTCCGACAACAGCAATGGCAAACCGTCCAAGAGAGGCACGATCCCCGCACTTTGGTCTGCGAAACATATTCCGCACAGTGCAGACTTCCCTGACCCATATGAATTGATTGGAGATGCATACGAGAGGATACCAGTCGCAGACGAGTGGGAATTGCCGGACCCGTAAGTTCACAGCATTGACAGTCTTCCAGGTCAAGACTCACGTAATGCAGCAACAGCAAGAGCCGGCCGTATTTGGCGCACATCAAATCGCTGTCGACTTCGTGGAGGACTTTACGACATCTAGCGGACTGGATGCAGGTTAGCACTACCCCACTACGCTGGAATGAGATCAAAGAGCACCCGGAGGAACGCGAAACCCGTGCGAATAAGACAAACGTCACCTTCGTCGAGTATCGTCCTGCCACTGCACCAAAAGCTACAGCGATTAAATCGCCTGCTTTGCTTCAAGAAACTCTTCAAGCTCTGTCGCTTGAGCATACGAAAGAACCTCCCCTGCGCCTCTTTATAGTAGAAGACCTGTCTCGACAAGTCATTGAGCTGCTGGGAGCGCGTTTCGATATAGATCCATTGTTCTTTCGAGAGCAGATCGATGACTACGTGTGGCACAACACTCGTGACCCCTGGGCGTCACCACCCAGCCTAGTCTCAAGCATGAGGCATCGGCCCTGGTTCAGGATGCGCAATATGAGGTTACGATACCACAAAACAGAAGAGGACTACTTCAATTCGAGGCTGGAAGCAAATTCTTGGAACGTGCTCAGACGACCTGACAACGATGAGAACCATTGGCACTACCAAGACGGAAAGGGAGCAGTCGTGTCCATCATGCGTACGCGTACCTCGATGTGGATCGGCAAGGATAAGAAGTGTGGTAATGGAACCGTCGGTATTGTCTTGCTAGATCCAACTGTTAGCCAAGGCCGGCCACTCTGTGAGTACTAACAACACGACAGTAGCTGAAGTACTGAATTGCCTTACTGACACTGCGAAGGGTACGATCGTAGTAATTGGCTGCCAACACCCAAGATGGACACCAAAGTTTACCCCTCAATCAAGTCTTCAGTATCCTGGTTCGAAGACATTGTCCAAATGACGACTGCCTTCCCGTGGTTTGAGCGGAAAGAGGGAAATGAGATAAACGCGCAAGTTCTCGCCAAACCAACTATATACACCATCTGCGCAGAGTGGCTCATAGTGTGCGACTATGTAAGAGCTCGTCTCAGCCAGATAGAGTGGGAACTCGAGATGCCACGCCTCTTCCGCTCGAAAGGTGATGCCATTGACACTTCGCTCAAGCGTCTGCATACCTGGCGTCGGCAGATCCCAGTGTTTCGGGAGATGATAACGGAGACGTTAGAACATGCGCTTCCGGCTGCAGCGCGGCTTACTAGCCCGTCTACTCAGTCCTCCGCTGCGCCCACATCACCTCTCTCCGTACGCTCTCTCTTTTCCGACAATCTGACCATAAATTACGACAACGTAGAAGGATTCGAGGACATAGTGCCTGACTTCAAACGCCTCCTTGCCGCTGTCAATGAACTGCAGGAGCGAGTCGACCGCCTGACTAGTATTGTTACATCGGAGATATCCATCGAAGATTCGCGTCGCGGGCTCGAAGAGAACCATAACATGGCGAGGATAACATGGCTGGCGACCATCTTCATCCCGTTGACGTTTATATCTGGGCTGTATAGCATGAATGAGAGTGTTTCAGCATTGAAGACGACGTATGGTTGGTACTTCCTAACGGCCGTGCCATTCACGTTGATCGTCATGGCAATCGGCTGGGTGGCTGGAGGCGGCAGTCTGACACCATGGAAGAAAAACACTACGAAGCAAAAGGGCATGATTGGGGGAAGAGACAACAAGAAAGCCAAGTGACTCAGGGGTAGCGCACTCTGCTCTGTCACAATGTCTTAGGCGGCAGACTTCTCCACGTTTGTCTGTTAGACGACGTACTAATGTAGTATTCTTATCAGCTCCCACCCTGGACCACCACCAAGGCTTTTTTGGCTACCACTTCCTCTCGGCTACAACGTGAATCTGAAACTAGGGTGCTGATGGCCAAGTCTGTCCGCATCCGCTCGCAGGAGTCTATCATCCCGTTCACCTCTCTCTCGCTTTCTGTTTTCCCAACCTAGGTACCAGCACTGGATGGCGGCAAGTACGATCGTTACTACCAACGCACCAAGGCTTACAGAATGGCCTAGAACATATTTCGGCGCATCGCGCTGAAGATAGATAAACGTGCCTATGAAGGCGGAGCAATTGGCAATGGAAATTACCATACCAATTCCGACTGCGCGGACATAGTGAGGCGCAAGATTGTTGGATGCCCATCCCTGATGACGGATGAGTAAAGTAATCATTTCGTATCGCAAGCGAAGCTTACCATGAGCATGGGCGAACCCTGAAAGACACCAATCGCGACCAGGAACGTCCCGGCGTACCGCACTGCATTCGTCGTCGCCACTATCAACATAACGTAACCGCATATCCCTATCACGCAACCTCCTATGATGAAATAACCACGATTCTTCAACTTGTCGGAGGCGTACGCCGTGCCAATGACCGTGATGAAAGCAGCCATGTTAGGTGGTACCGTAAAGAGCTGCGCGGTGGTGCTTTGATAGCCCATGCCGGCAATGATACTAGGAAGGAACAGCGAAAAGCTCTGTTAAGCTTTAGCATAGTCTCCGGCATTTGAGATCCGGAAAAAGCTTACATAGAGCGGAACCAACAAGAAGAACCAGATGAAAGCAGAAAGGTACGTCTGCGGAGCTTTGAGTGCCATCTTGACCCAATACCAACTGAATTTCTCATCGTCGACATCAACTTCGGTGGATCCTCCTGCGTCAAGCCTCATGCGTCGCAATGCCCACTCCTTCTCTTCATCACTCAAGAATCCTGCTGCGGCAGGGGTATCCGGCATGAAGAAGAAGCATACGATGCCGAACACAACAGTGATTGCGCCCTCAACTGAGATCATGTCAGCGCAACACCTCCACAACGTGAAACATTAGCGAGAACTTACTAAAGAAGATCCAGGGCCATCTTCGATACCCCCCAACCTCAATGGTTGCCAGTCCCGAAGCGAGTAGTCCACCAAAAGCCCCAGATAGAGGCGCGGCGCAATAAAAGAGACCGCTTCTCAGCAGCATCTCGCCTCGCCTGTAGAACATGGCAAGGTATATGATCACGCCACCGAGAATGCCTCCTTCACATAATCCCAGCAACAGTCTACATGCCACCAGCCCAGCAAATGACTGCACGAAGCCCATGAACGTACACATTAGACCCCATGCCGTGATCAGAGCTGGTAGGTATATCCCGGCGCGCAAACGCTTGACGAGTAGGTTAGACGGTACGTCGACGAGGATGTACGGGATGTAGAAGACGAGGAGGGCGATGTTAAACCGTGTACCGGTTGTGATGGAAAGTTCATCGGACAGGCCGGCTATTCTTGCGTTGCCGATGTTGCTGCGGTCTATGAACGAGAAGAGCCTAGATCTCTTACTCAGCATGGGCTTTAGAATAGTGTGGGATGGCAAAATACCATATCCCGAACAACCAAGGCAGAATACGAAAGTCAAATTTGCGATTCAGACGCTTGTCCAGGGCTGTGTCAATCGTCTCGTCCAGTGTGATCGCCTTTTCGATGCGTTCAGTGTCTGTTTCCTTGGGCTTATCCATTGTGGCTGGTTAGCAGACTAGTCACAGTAGAACGCGCTTTCACGGCAGCAACAGGAGAAGAATGCGAACAGAGAATGGAATACAGATTAACAACACCGAAGGATCTAGCTAGTGTAACGCCCACGTCCAAGCAACTGTACATCTTCCCGAACCAATGTTCATAGGCTAAAGTCTCTCCACATTGCGGGGAAGTTTCGAAGGATCACCGATGCTGCGGGGATATCTCCAAAGAGCATGCCGAGCTATGGAGAAAGGCTTGTTGACCAGTGAGCTTCTCGCCAAATGTCTTGTGCAAGGGCGATGTGACGGATAATGTTTCCCCGAGCAGTGCGAATGAGGAGACAAGCTGCGCGGCTGGTAAGCGAGATGTCAAGAAATGTGGCTGACGATGGCCCGAACCACGTGCCGGTAGCGCGCCGTTGCCGCCACCTATTTCGTCATGAACGCCCAAAATCCTCTAGCCAGAATTATGCTCGGCAAATCAACAACACGGTAGAAAATCTCTCCAACTATAGCGACCAGCGGTGCGCAGACCAAGAAGCAGACAAAAGTGCTCAGAGAACCGTTCATGCCGGCGTCGGCCATGTGCGTGTATAACTTGATACCGGCGGTGTAGATGAGTATGGATTGGACGAGGAAGTAGCCTGGAATGTGTAAGTAATCGTTCCATGACTTTGTCGAAGAGTTGCGACTTACTGAAGCTCCTCTTGCCTAGCGAAACGAAGAAGCCTCCGCGAAGGATAGCCCGAGGCAGTTCGAACGTCTCAATCAGAAGCATCGACCCAAGGATGATGAGGTAGTTGTCGACCCTCGCCATCGGCTGGTCTAGATCTACGTTCTCGTTCAAGAATCCGTCATCGTACAGCGCGGTGTGACCCCATAGCTCATTGTCGCGCATGTCTGGTTTTCCGGAGATGAAGGCGAACTGCAGCACAACACCGGTAAGGACCATCGCAGCGTAAAGTGGCCAGACTGGGATACCGAAGTTGCCGATCTTGAATCCTCGTTGGGACCGGGCCTTGAAGTCCATGTTGAGGACCGCATCAGCAATGATTAGGCCGGTGACGCTGTACCAAGCCCAGCTCTGTACCCAGAACGCTGCTACGATGAAAGCTAGCATGGCCTTTACTCGCCATGAGGTGCGCGTATTCGGAACAATGACCATGGTGATGTAGACGGTATAACTTTGCTGGAAGAGCACGGACACTATCCAAAGCGTACCAGATGGGAAGACATCGTTGGCGGCCTGACTAGCGTAACGCTTGTTGACCCAGAAGATCTCGAAAAGGGAGTTGAAGTAAATCAAGAAGTTCTGGATCCGCGTCGGTGCGATGGTGGAGATGTTGCCAGTAGAGGCCAAGAAGTCGGAGATGTAGTCGGTCGAGGTTGTGCTGAAAGCCGCTGCTGCAAAAGAGTAGGCGATGAAAGTCGGAATCCATAGTCTGATGCCACGACGGAAGACACTCGATGCGCCGACCTCACGCGTCTTGTTGGCGAGGTAAGGTAAGCAAATGGTGCGCGCGGAGAGGAAGATAATCCATGAGTAGATCAATGCCTCGTTGGCGAAGATTACTGAAAATGACTTTCGAAGTGCGACCTGGTACGCCGGGCCATCAACATTCTTCGAGTCTGGAAGGGCGGCTGGAAGAAAGGTCTGGAAGAACACGTAGAGGAATGATTGGAATACAAACAGGCCACGAAGCCCAATGAGGTAGTTCTGGTCAGCTGACAGGGTTGTCGTTCCTTGCTCGGCCGACGACGAAGGGAAGATAGCCTTGAGTTTGGATGAAAGGGTAGGCTCCATTGTTGCAGACATCTTGTTCGATATCGCGGTAAAGATGAGGATCTCGGTGATAAAGAGGAAGAGCAGCTTACAAACAAGGCAATTTACCCTCGACTTCTGATTCCACACAGACAACAAAACCAGCACGACCCTTGGCGACTACTCGCGGCAGTAGCACCACGTCCCGTACCAAAGACCCCCCGTGGGAGACCCGAGATCAGCACCTTGGCCACCAGAACGACCACGTACCTGAAGGCGACTTTTCTTTCCGTGACTAGCACAGCATCTGCCTACCGAGCACGGGAAGCGTTGAGCTTAGTTGCAACGCAAGCTTCCGAGCACAATTCAGGCGCATGCATGCCAAGGGTCAGCTATGCTTTTTGTGGCGTTCTCTACGTCCCGCTGAGCAGTTGTTCGATAAGCGTTGACCCTAGTTGAGGCTGGCAGCGGGTAACTTTGGCGGCATACAATAGTTCGCATTTCTGGCATCCGGACCACTTACACGAAGCGGGCGGCTGTTGATCGTTATCTTGATCTCGGATGTTGAAATGTCGGCCTGCCGACTTGTAACGTTGCCGTCTTCAACATACACATCCCAGACGCACGTCGTGACGTGCTCGATGAAAAGCACCCTGATCTCTCAACACCCAGGTACCGCCGGGCAACGGCCTTCCTCAGAACCTTCCACGTGTGGCGCATGGGGCAGCCCTACTTGGGCATCTACACCTGTCAGTGACCGCCATGTCAACTGCGGCCGTCCGTGCACATTGATTTTCATACCGAACATCCGTGCGATAGGCCACGAAGGGTCGTGAAATCCGCACGTTTTCCAAAATCCGAGGGGCTGACTCGTGTGCTCACACCAAAAAAGGAAGGTCCGCGTGCCGGAGAGCAAAAGCCCGCTGAAACAGATCTTACTCACCGAAGATAACGCCGTGTCGAATTTTTCTAGCAAGTTTGCGGATGGTTCCGCCGGCCTACGATGCTGTGCTACCCGCCAGGTGTAGTGTGGTAGGTAGCATCCCACGCGGCCTAGGGAACGCACACTTGCGAAGTGGATCTACGCGCTAGCGAGCGCGTGTCGATCGCCCGCATAGTCGACTTGTAATGTCCCGGCCACCCCTGGTGCTGTTGATTATTTCCTTTTTCATGTCGCTAGGCCGATGCTTTCTGGCAACGCATCAGGGTGCAGGGTCCGTTTCAGTAAGGCGCTGCCCTTCGGCCCTGCTTCATGCTAGGATTTTACTTATCTCTGAGTTTACCTTCCGTGATAGACTGTGCGTGACAGATCGGAAATCGTATCGCCGACGTGAGTCGCCCGGGATAAGGCTGATGCTCTGCATTCCGCTGTGATGCCGCGCGTTATCTCATAGATCGAGTTTCACATGTTGACCACTCAGGAGCC